TCCACTATCTTCGACCAAAGGTATTCTGTTTGTGTTAACAGGTTGCAGTGGACTGAGAAAAAGATTGTGAAACTGAGAACTCAGTGCTTGGGTGGTTAAAATTGGATTAGGAACTGCTTTAGGGTTGCTAGTCTATTTGGTAGGTCATGTCATAAAACTGATCCTAATTGGTGATAGTATCTTCAGTTTGTTGTTGGGAATCATGAAAAAGGTTTTCAGAATTCACACATTTGAAAATGTCACTGTTCCAAAGAATTAAAGGTGGTGTGGTTTCCTTGCCTTGTTAAGCTCCGACCAGCTTATGGATTGCTGCTAGTCATGCTCTATATGTGTGTGTTGGTCTGGCCTAGTCCCAGGTCCGTGTTGGTCTGGCCTAGTCCCAGGTCCTTGAAGTTGGCTTCAAGTCCCTCCTTTATGTTGGATATGTGTGTTAGGGATGCCAGATTTATATGTGATCAACTTTTTCTTTTTTTTTTGGCTGGCTATGGGCTTGCAATTCTTCTAATATTCTTTGATGAAGTTGGATTATTCTGTCACCTGTTCATATCTTAATGCTCGTCTTGCTGAATTGATTACCTGAGTGTTGAACATATTCTCAAATGTTGAATTTTATTGGTAGGCAATTCATAAGCAATGGTAACCGTGCATGCTGAATTGCAATACAATATCATATTCATTTAAACATACCAAGTTACATTATTTTAATGTTACTGATTGATGTTAACTACCATTCTATTGTTAAATATGTTAATTAGAATTCCATAATGATGATGGCAAAGTGTCTACATCTTGAGTTTTTGTAGATTGACCATATGGCCTTGGAGCCTGCATAATCCAGTAAACTTTTGTTATGTTTTTAGCGAAAGCTGTTTGGAGAAAATGCTTCTTAATAACTCTGATCTAGTTGATGTTCTTTATATTGCTTGATGTTCGTATGTGAAATCTCCAATTTGAAAGTAAATTGCACCAACTAATAGAAATATATTGTTGTACTTGGCCTCTTTGCTTCAGAATTTGGATCCTTTTAGTTTTTACTTTCTATTGTAACAACTGATTGAAATATATTTAACATTATCATATAATTTTATCGTATCATGTGATCTTACTATGTATACTTCCTGTGTTTTGTCATAAAAATTCTGTACTCAAGAATATATTCGCACACTGATGCTTTGATCCTCTTGGATCATTCATCTTGTTTGGTGACTATAAATTTTTGGTTTTACTTTGACATCATACTAATTTCTGAGATTTATTTTGCTCAGGTTTTGCATGCTGGTAATACAAATAAGAATGGGTTCAAGGCACTTATTGCTGCAGAGTACAGTGGTATCCAAGTTGAGTTGGTGAAGAACTTTGTAATGGGTGTGTCAAATAAAACTCCAGAGTTTCTTAAGATGAACCCTATAGGGAAGGTAAGCTAATTTTCTGGACATGAATATGTATTTTGTGTTCATATCCAAGTATAAGCTTATTTGTAAGCTGCATATTTCTTGTTATGAGTTCAGGTGCCTGTATTGGAGACGCCTGATGGTCCCGTTTTCGAGAGCAATGCTATAGCACGTTATGGTATGAAATAATTATTTAAATTTCACTTTTGAAAATAAGAGCATGCTTGTTTAACATATTAGTCCATATGATATTTGATGTTTACAATATTAAACTATCAGTTCATAATTGTATATAATGCCTGTAACGCCACATGTGGCTCATATCTAAGGCTCATCTAGATTAGCAATTATGCAATTAAAATAACAATGGTGATGAAATTAGTAAGATGTTTTGCTTTTCATCCTCATGAATTTTAGTTTTCTTCTGTTTTTTTTTTTGAATTTTGGCATATAATCACACATCCAATATTTTGAAGACCAAGTGATAGCTCCTCAAACCTTTTTCAAAATTATGTAAAATATATATGGAAAGAAAAAGATAAAATTCTATAAAAATAAGAATTAAGTGTGAGGGATCAGAAGACTGATAATGTGGACTGGAATTTAGATATCTACAAAAGAATTAAAAGAATAATTTAATTTTGTTTTGTACCTGGAGGGAGAGATTTTTAAGGGGTGGGGGATGTTGATAAAATTTTGTAAATGTTATATACTATGATATCTATGCTTTTTTCTAACAGAGTACTCTAAAACAGTGCCTTATTCTTTATGAATAATGGATTGTGTGTACATAATTTGAGATTTCAGAGACTGATTTGTATATAAAGAGTTGTATAAATTACAAAGATTTGAGGATCAATATGAAAATCACTTTTTATGATGTGATGCATACTAATAGCTCTTTGTACTCGTTTCAGTAACTCGCTTGAAGGCTGATAATCCTCTTTATGGCTGTTCACTCATCGAATATGTAAGTTATCTGCTTTATTTGGATTGTCCAGTTGACACAACAGTTTAATTAATTTTTATGTTCATTCATGTGGTTACCAGGCTCACATTGAACAATGGATTGACTATGCATCCATGGAAATTGACGCAAATCTTGCACGATGGCTTTATCCACGACTTGGATATATGCCTTACCTTGCTGTTGTAAGTATAATAATTATATTGCCACTGTATCAGTTGTGGCTTGTGCTCTGGGCTGAAAAAATTTATATTTATGTAGGCTGAGGAAGCAGCAATATCTAGTTTGAAGAGGGCACTTGGTGCTTTGAACACTCATCTTGCCTCAAGCACATACCTTGTTGGCCATTCTGTTACTTTAGCAGATATTGTCATGACATGCAACTTATACCTTGGATTCAGTATGATCCTGGTCAAGAGTTTTACATCAGAATTCCCTCATGTTGAAAGGTACTTTTGGACTATGGTTAATCAACCAAATTTCCATAAAGTGGTAGGCGAGGTCAAACAGGTCGACTCAGTTCCACCTGTTCCATCACAAAAGAAGCCTGTTCAACCTAAAGAGCCAGCTAAACCAAAGGAAGTTAAGAAAGAACCTAAGAAGGAGCCTGCAAAACCCAATGTTCAGGAGGTTCTGGAAGAGGAGGAGGAGGCTCCCAAACCCAAGCCAAAGAATCCTCTAGACCTACTTCCACCTAGTAAGATGATATTGGATGAGTGGAAGAGGCTTTATTCCAATACGAAAACCAACTTCCGAGAGGTTGCCATCAAAGGTATCCCTTTCAGCTTTGGTTGCAGATTTTTTTTTTCCTTGCGAGATATTATTGTGGTGGTTAAATATTCTGTAGCTTCTTTTGTTTTTGTATGGTCGACTGAAGTGATAAGTCACAGTTCATTTATTCCTCTGGTAGAAGGCAGCAATATCAGCTAACTTTTTTTCATTCTCAAACCAACACAATAAAATATTTGATACATTGTTTCTTTACTAGTCTGTTGTATTGTACATTCTACTTTAGATGTTCTTGAGCAATATTTGGTGCATTGCCTTTTTCTTTTCAAAAATATGGACTGTATATTACTTTAAAAACTTGTTAGAGAAATTTAACAGTGTGGGTCTTTGGTTGTATGGTGAGGTTGCTCCCTTGCAATCTAATTGACTAGAGTTTGAGTCATCACTAACATCCTCATTGGCAGGATTCTTGTTCTTTTAGAATGCTTGCAGAAATTGCTAATGGCATCCAAACACAACTGCTGACAATTTTTGCAAAGCTGGTTGCCCAGGTGCCAATCAAATTTACCTTTATAAACTTGTCTATAACAATACCTCTTAGTGGAGCTGACTTGGGTGCATGAATGCTGATGTAACAACATAATGTGTTGGTTATCTGATAATTTGTAGTTGTGATTATATCATATTGTAACATCTGGAAAGAGATTTTCAAGTCAAAGTGCCTTAAATATTTGTAGAACCCAGGGCCTTTTTGCTGATTCTTTGATAGTTGCATGCATCAGTATTCTATTTTTATTCCATTTTGTGAAGTTATGCTTTGCTATGTTTTACTTCGGTTTTTTTCTCTATTTGGCGTTGCAATCCAAGTAGTTTTACTGATTCCTTGTGTTGTGGATCATGACTTCAGGTTTCTGGGATATGTATGACCCTGAGGGTTACTCTCTGTGGTTCTGTGACTATAAATACAACGATGAGAACACTGTATCATTTGTGACCCTTAACAAGGTGAGTGGGTTCCTGCAGCGAATGGATTTGACTCGGAAATATGCTTTTGGAAAGATGCTCGTGATTGGCTCTGAACCACCATTCAAGGTGAAGGGTGTGTGGCTCTTCCGGGGACAGGAGATTCCAAAATTTGTGCTCGACGAGGTCTATGACATGGAACTATACGATTGGGCAAAGGTTGACATTTCTGATGAAGCACAGAAGGAGCTGGTGAATGCCATGATCGAGGACCAGGAGCCTTTTGAAGGTGAGGCCCTGTTGGATGCCAAGTGCTTCAAGTAAAACCATTGGAAGATGAACGAGAATATATAACCTGGACTTGATCTCTTCGAGCTGGAGGTGTTTACATTTGCTGCACTCTTAGTTAGTTACTGGTTTTCTGAGTCTTGTTAGTACCTTGATACGGAGATCTTATTTAAACAAGTGATTTGTAGGGTTCCTTTCGTGCTGGACCAAGAGTAAGTTAAATGTGCGATAAACTCTTTTCATTTGTGGTATCAATTTCTGTTGATTCAGATGGTCATTGTTTGGTAGCGCTATGTAGAGCCTTTTAATTATTAATTATTTCTAGGTGATGTTTGTGACATTTATAATGCTACACTCGTATATTGAGTTCTGCAGTATTTTATCTGAGAAAATGATGCGCACACTGTTGTATTTTAGCAAACTGCCCTCCTTTTTTCTAGAATTATACTTTTTAGGCACCCTTGCATTTGTGAACGTCTGTTGCCTTTTTTTGCATTAGTATCTCATTAAATTATAATTTGTCTCATGAAATTAAGTTTTACCATCCAATTCTGTATGCTGGAATTGATGTTAATCAATGCACAAACAACTATATAGAAGAATGTGATTCACTCATTTCATCCATGGCCAAAAATTATGATGTTAGAAAGCACCAAGTCAATGAGGTGGTACAAAACTTGTAGGAATATTCATTGTTCATTACATGGCCATCCTTCACCATAAACAAAAATATAGAATCGTCCATTACATGGATTTGACTCATTCATCTCATCCTTGACCATAAGCCATGAAGCTATCTACAATCCATGGAAAACAAGTTAAATTAGGAGATACAAAACTTGTCGGTAAGGGAGTTGAGGCTTGTGTTAAAGAGTCCATAGCCTAAAAGCCTGGAGCACCTGGTATGTCAACCCACAGCAGCTGCAACTCCAATTCACCACTCTCCACATTTCTGAGCCTGACAATGATGTCTTGCACCACCTTGCCTTCTTTCCACACAATGGCACTGTCTTCAGCCAAGCAGTTGTGCCTGTTAGGGTTCATGGTTTTGATGATGGTGTCATTTGGGATATCAGACAAGTTCATTTTCACTGCCTCTACGAATGGCACGATATCGATCTCCGCATCGCCCATCTTGTCGTCACGGCTGAATGTGTCCTTGTCGTAAACTCGCTGCGAAAACAATGTATCGATATCGATCAGAACAGACCGCAAATCCTTTTAAAAAAATGCTCTTGTTCTTGATTAACACCATAGAGGACTACATCTCATTTTCTTCTTCTCATCAGTACTGATGCAGAAGTTGAAAACAGAATTTTTTTTTACTACCTCAAAATTGTACTATGATTTGAAAGAATTAGTTCAATTGGCCATAAGTAGACAATTAAGGTAGGATGTGACAGACTGATATTTAATCAAGCTCTGTTTTCTTGGCATCAAACAAAACTGTGCTAGTTTTCATCCATTTCCGGCCATACTTAAGCCTCGCTTGTTGAGTGAAACACCATTTAGTCTTAAGCAACTCAATTTAACTAGGAATCAAGATCTTTAAGGAGATGCAGTCAGTATGTGAATTAATGCATGCACGAGATTTAGCTAGCAGAATATTGAAATGCAAGCAGTGAGACTGTATGTGATAGCAAGAGACATACAATCTTCACAGGTTGAGTAGGATCTGAAACTGTAAGTGTCAAATCTTCATTCCAAACTGGGTTGACATTGTGCTTCTTCACACTGGTCTTCAGTTTCTGCTCGATACACAATTATCGGTAATTGTAGTAAAATGATGTAGATAAGAAACCACATTAGAAGCTATGATGATGAATCAACAAAATGAACTAAACAAGATTAATAAATATGGAACACTCATACACAGTTTTTCCATGGGATATGATTTGAGGAACAAAGCATAATTCTAGGAATAGAGCTCGAAAATGAATCCCAGAAATAAGCCCTCAAAAATACCAAAGAAAATAATGAAGAATAGCACATGAATATCCCTTTTTTATATGGACATAAATGCCTCGTAAACTTCATAAAAGATCAACAGCATAAAAAATGTCGATGTAACGTCAACATATCAACAAATGTTAGACACAAGATATATCGATTCTGAATCAAAAAACATGATCTAAATATCCAAATCATGACTAGATGCATGATAAAGAAGGACTGGATCCTTGGAAGTGCGAACGAAATCTATAAAATGACCAAGATACCTTGTGGGTATAAAGATTTAGGAGACCAAAGAATGGATCGGAGTAGGAATTGAATAAAAGGATTAGATAAGACATGAGGAGAAGGGAATGGAAATGGTATGACCTGACCGCCCATGCGGACGACGACGTAAGGGTCGCTGCCAGTGGCGTCGCGGTAGGCCAAGCTCACCCCTCTCACCACCCGCACTCTGAGGAGACCCAGCAGATGATCCATTCCTTCTCTCTCTCTCTCTCTCTCTCTCACTCACACAATTCTTCCAAGAACAAGAAGATATGGTTGATGATGATGAAGAAGAAGAAGATGGAACGAGGAACCGATGGATCACGTAGAACCAACGAAGAGGAGAAGGCAAGGACGACTGGGCACGTAACCAGGAGAAGTAATCCTGAGGCGTTTATTATTAGCTAATCGCCAAAGTTGACGTGGGTTTATTAAGAAGAATCAGCAGCTTAAATTACACGTTGATATATATATATATATATATATATATATATATATATATATATATATATATATATATATATATATATATATATATATATATAATTCCAACATATGCATTGATAAATCGTTGCCTCCAAGATCTACGACATTAGTTTTAGCCCAAAAAGGAGTGCAACATGAGAACATCCCCAGGGGGTCAACTATCCCAATAATAGTCTCGCCCAAGAATGCTTAAACTTTAAAGTTTTGAAAAGATTCGATGCTTTAGGACTAGTATGATCGCACCTACGTTGCATGTGTTGTCCGACACCTAAGTGCACATTACAATTGGAGACCCCACGCATGGGGCCAATTTGAACCCATTGCCTTGAAATTGTCATAACTTTTTTGAATAATCTCAAAATCGCTATTGCAACCCCAATATGGCAAGCTCTCTTCGAGCCCCACTTAGGTGATTATGAAGTGGTCACGATAAATTTCAAGCCCGAAAACCATCGCTTCGGAGGTCCATGACATCAATTTTCATCACTCGGGCACAAAAAGGAGTGCAACATGAGGACTTCCTAAGAGGTCACCTATCCTAGTACTACTCTTATCTAAGCACGCTTAACTTCGAAGTTCTAATGAGATTCGATGGTTTAGTGTTAGTATGATCACAGTCATATTGCATGCATCGTTCGGAACATTAGTGCATGTTGTGGTCGGCTATCTCGTGCATGGTTTGTGTGGGGCTGATTCGATCCCATCGCACTGAAACTATTGTAACTTTCTCAAACGATCTCAAAATTTCTATTTTGACCCCAATTTGGGAAGCTCTCTTCGCCCCCATGCGGGTGACTATGAAGCAATCATAACAAATTTTAGGCATAAAAACCATTGACTCAAAGGTCTACAACATCGGTTTTCATTGCTTGGGCACAAAAATGAGTGCAACATGAGGACTTACCAGGTGATCACCCATCCTAGTACAACTCTCACCCAAACACGCTTAACTTCGACGTTCTAATGGGATCTAGTGCTTTAGTATTAGTATGATTGCATCCATGTTGTGTGTGCCATTCAACACCTAAGTGCATGTCACAACCTGAGACACTATGCATGGGTCATGTGGGGTCAATTTGACCCTATCGTGCTAAAATCATTGTAAATTTTTGAATGATCTCAGCATCACTATTGTGACCCTAATTCGGGAAGCTCTCTTCAAGCCCTACTCGGGTGACTGCAAAATGATCACGATAAATTTTGAGCCCAAAAACCATCACCTCAGAGGTCTACGACATTGGTTTTCGTCACTCTGGGGCAAAAATGAGTGTAACACAAGGACTTCCCAAGGGGTCACCCATCCTAATACTACTCTAGCCAAAGCATGCTAAACTTTAGAGTTCTAATAGGATCCAGTATTTTAATGCTGATATAATCACACTCATGTTTTTGCATTGTCCGATGCCTAAGTGCATGTCATGGTCAAAGACTCCATGCATGGGTTGCACAGGGTGAATTCAACCCCATCGCACTAAAACTATCGTAACTTTTTCAAACAATCTCGGAACGCTGATGTAAGTGATTATGAAGCGATCGTGGTAAATTTTAGGCTCGTTGCCTTGGAGGTCTATGACATCAATTTTTATTACTCAAGCACAAAAAGGAGTACAACATGAGGACTTCCCTAGGGTTCACCTATCCTAGTACTACTTTCGCCCAAGCATGCTTAACTTTAGAGTTCTAATGGGATCCAGTGCTTTAATGCCGATATGATTATACCCTTGTCTTTATGTTGTCCAACACCTAAGTGCATGTCATGGTCGGAGAACTCATGCGTGGGTCGCATAGGGCCGATTCGACCCCGTCACACTAAAACCATTATAATTTTCTCGAATGATCTCGAAATCACTATTGTGATCCCAGTCTGATAAAGATCTCTTTAAGCCCTACGTAAGTGACTATGAAGCAATGTAACTTTCAAACTTGAAAATCATTGCCTCAGAGGTCTATGACATCTGTTTTCATTACTTGATGCAAAAAGGAGTGTAACACGAAGAGTTGCTAGGGGATCACCCATCCTAGTACTACTCTTGCCTAATCACACTTACCTACAGAGTTCTAATAGGATCCAGTGCTTTTGTGCTGGTATGATCGTACTCGTGTTTTTGCATCATTCGACACCTAAGTGTATGTCATGGTCGGAGACCCCGTGCGTGGGTTGCACGGGGCACGAGGTTGATTCGATGCTGTCGCACTGAAATCATGGTAATTTTCTCAAATAATCTCAGAATCGCTATTGCAACCCAATGTGGGAAGCTCTCTTCGTTCCCTACTCAAGTGACTATGAATGGATGAAAGCAAATTTTGAGATCAAAAACCATAGCCTCGGAGGTCTATAGCATCGATTTTTGTCACTCGAGAGCAAAGAAGAGTAAAACACGAGGACCTCCTAGGGGATCACCCATCTTAGTACAACTCATGCCTAAGCATGCTTAACTATGGAGTTCTAATGGAATCTGATGCTTTAGTGTTGGTATGATCGCACTTGTGTTTTTTTGTCATCTGGTACCTAAGTGCACGTCGTGGTCGGCTACAACATCAGTTTTCATTGCTCAGGGGTAAAAGGGAGTGCAACACAAGGACTTCCCGAGGGGTCACCCATCCTAATACTACTCTCACCAAGCAGGCTTAAGTTCAGAGTTCTAATGGGACCTAGTGCTTTAGTGATAATATAATCGCACTTGTATTTTTAAGTCATCTAGTGCCTAAGTGCACGTCATGGCTGGAGACCCTGTGCGTGGGTCACACAGGGCTGATTCGACCTCGTCGCACTAAAACTATCATAACTTTCTTGAAAAATCTCGAAATTACTATTGTGACCCTAATCCAAAAAGCTCTATCGAGCCCTATGCATATGACTATGAAGTAATCATGGTAAATTTTGGCCTGAAAATCATTGCCTCAGAGGTTTACGACATCGGTTTTTATTGCTCGAGCACAAAAAGGAGTATAACATGAGGAGTTCCCAAGAGATCAACCATCCTAGTAGCACTCTTGCCCTACAACACTTAGTTATGGAGTTCTAATGGGATCTGATGCTTTAGTGCTAGTATAATCGTACTCATGTTTTTGAGTCAATTGACACCAAAGTGTGAGTCATGGTCGGAGACCTCGTGCGTGGGTTGTGTGGGGCTAATTCGACCTCGTCATGTTGAAACTGTTGTAACTTTCTTGAATGATCTTGAAATTCCTATTATGACCCTAATCTGGGAAGCTCTCTTCGAGGCCCATACGGGTAACTATGAAGATGTCATGGCAAATTTTGGGCTTGAAAATCATCACTTTGGATGTCTATGGCATCGGTTTTCATCGCTCGAACACAAATAGGTGTGCAACATGTGCACTTCCCATGGGATCACCCATCTAGTACTACTCTTGCCCAAGTGCACATCACCCATCCTACTCGGTGCTTTAGTGTTAGTATGATCGCACTTGCATTTTTGCATCATTTGGCACCTAAGTGCACGTCATGGTTAGAGACCTTGTATGTGGATTGCACGGGGTCGATTTGACCCTGTCGTGTTGAAATCATCATAATTTTTTCAAATGATCTCAAAATCACTATTGTGAATCCAATTCAAAAAGCTATTTTTGAGCCCCATGTGGGTGACTATGAAGTGGTTATGGCAAATTTCAAGCTCGAAAATCATTGCCTCAAAGGTTTGCGACATCGGTTTTCCTTACACAGGACAAAAAAGGTATGTAACATGAGGACTTCCCAAGGGTTCAACCACCCTAGTACTGCACTCACCCAAGCATATTAACTTTGGAGTTCTGTTGGGATCCAAGGCTTTAGTGTTAGTATGATTGCACCCATATTTTTTCATCATACGGTGCCTAAATGCATGTCGTGGCTGGAGACCCTATGCTTGGGTCACACAGGGCCAATTAGACCTCGTCATGCTAAAACTATCGTAACTTTCTCGAATAATCTTGGAATTGCTATTGTGACCCCAATTAGGAGGGGAGGTCAATTTTTCTCCCCTCTAGCGATGATCTACATGGTAGATGCAGCGAAGATGCTCCTCAAATCGCTGCACGATCTTCCTCTCCACATACATCACATGATCAAGAAAGGGTCAGCCCTTCTTACTAGCCACATGCTCAAAACTGGGGTTGTCAACTAAGGAGGAGAGGGAGGGAGGAGAATAGGAGGTGGCAGCCAAAAATGGGTCTAGCCTATGCCCCTTTAGTTTCCTCCTATTTATAGAGGTCTCTTATCAACTTAACCATAATGAGTCCTGCCCTATTGGGTAATGGATCTTAATTCAACTACCAAAAACTCTTGGATTAGTGAATCTCTACCTAATAATCTCTCATTGGCTCTTATTGGATCTTATCCACAAGATCGAATAATTCAGGGGCTTACTGTATATCCAATAAGATAGGGACTCCAACAGATATCTCATATCCAAACCTCTACTCATCGCAACATCAACCATATGTGTGTGAGCCTCTAGACCTAATATCGAGCTGGACATGAGTTATACATATCATAACTCCTTTTGACTCGGTGAATTATCATCTCTTATAATAATTCACTCGACTCATCAACTACAAATATATTATGCCACTACGCCACAGTTCCTAAATGATATAAGGGAATCCAATCTATTGGACCTAGCTATCCTCAATTATCATATATCTATAGCCCCTCATCTGTCTAATATCCTAGAAATCGTATACCGAGCATGGTATTGTTAGTCTCATATATCTCGATATCTCTCTCGAGTAACCTATGATCAGGATTTTTAGGGTCTGTATTTAAAAGAAAATTAGTTTATTATCTTGACCCCATCATGTTCTGATCTCATTACACAGATCCATGGACATCATAATATATACAACGAGTAACATAAAGTGAGAAAATACCAATAATAATAAGTAAAAAGACTATGTTATGTGTCACACGTGCCATTACTCATGTGATTGGCTTGTAGAGCACTTAGGACTAGTAGTGTGGTCCATGATGAGTTTCGCCGACCTATGCATCTCATTCTAGGGATACACCGTAGAGTTTGCAACTTACCTTTTGAATAGAATTTTGACTAAGTTAATAGTATATATACCATATAAGATATGGAAAGGGAAAAAGCCTGATCTTAAGGTTGTTAAGATTTTAGGCTGTCTTGCCCACATTATGAGACATAATCCTGACAAGTTAGAATCCAAGACAGAACTATGCAAGTTCCTAGGATACTCTAAAGAAACTTGTGGGTATTATTTCTATCACCCCGATGACTAAAAAATCTTTGTAGCCAAGAGAGCGGTGTTCCTTGAGAAGGAACACATTCATAATGGAGATAGTGGGAGCGTGATAGAGTTAAGCGAGGTTGGAGAACCTAGCTCAAGCACTATTCTGTAGCCTAAGTATGTTAAGAAACTAACACACAAGTTTCAACTTTACGTAGGTCTGACAAAGTATCTCATTCTCCTTAGAGATATGTAAGACATATCAGAAAAGACGATATTGAAGATATTAATCATTAGACTTATGAGGAGACTATTATGAGTATAGACTCCAAGAAATGACAAAAAGCCATGAATTCTAAGATGGATTCCATGTACTCCAATAAGGTTTGGAACCTAGTTTATGCACTTAAGGGTATCGTACCCATTGGTTGCAAGTGGATCTTCAAGAAGAAGATCGGAGAAGATGGAAAGATGGAGACCTATAAAGCAATAATGGTGGATAAGGGATATCATTAAAGGCAATATGTTGACTATGACGAAACCTTCTCGCATGTAGTCATGTTGAAATCTATCCGAATTCTCTTGGTTATTGCAGCACACTATGACTATGAAATTTGACAAAATGAACGTGAAAAGTATGTTCCTCATTGGCAACCTCGATGAGGAGATATATATGATACAACATGAGAGATTTGTTTCTAAGGAGAGTCCACGTAAGATGTGTGGATTGTTTAGATCTATCTATGGACTAAAGCAAGCTTCCTAACGTTAGAACATAAAATTTTGTGAGACCATTAGATCTTATGATTTCACTTGGGGATTCAGATCTATAGAGATAAATCCAAGAGGATACTTAACTTATTGTAGTCCAGGTACATAAACACCATTGTCAAAAGCTTTGGCATGAAAAATTCCAATTGAAGTCTCATACCGATGAAACATAGAATATCACTTTCTAGGAGTATATCTCAAAATACTCCTAAAGAAAGAGCAAACATGGATAGGATACCTTATGCCTCAACAATATGATTGATCATATATGCTATGCTATGTAATAGGCCTGATATATCGCATGCTCTATATGTTACAAGTAAATATCATGCGAATCCAGGTTTGGAACACTAGAAGGCAGTAAAGTGTATCCTTAAGTACTTGAGAAGTACTATAGTTCTTTTACTAGTATATGAAAGAAGTAACCTCAAGGTTGAGGGCTACACAGACTCAAGTTTTCAATTCGATATCAATAATAGCAAATCTAACTCAAGGTATGTATTCAGCCTGAATAAAGAAGCAATATACTAGAAGAGTTTTAAGCAAGATACTACTAGTCGTAGGTGTCATGTAAGTCAATCACGTGAGTGGTGGTATATGTAATATGACACATACTTTTTTTGCTTATTATTTAATTAAATTTTTTCTCACTTTATGTCGCATATTGCATGTATGGTGACGTCCATGGATCTATGCAATAGAAATCGGATCATGATGAGATCACAATAATGAGACTAATTCATCTTTAAATACAGACTCTAAATAATCCCAGTCATAGATTACTCAAGAGGAAAATCGAGATAATTGGATAAACTTGTGTGCTATATATTTATCCATATGATGGAGGTAGTTGATTGTTGGGAAATTTGAGGCACCATCACATGCATAGTGGAAGAAAAATAAAATAAAATCTTAGATTTTTCTATAGAAAAAAAGGTTTCATCATTGTGTGAAGATTAGTACGCAAAACTATAAAACCAAAAACTATGTGTATATAAAATATGTGTTATCTAGGGAGATCGTATATCCCTAAAATTCTGTAGGTCTATGGGAGAGGATGAAAGAGGTCAATTGTCCTCTCTAGCGGTGATTCATATGGTAGGGGCTACGAAGACGCTCCTCAAATCATTGCACAATCCTCCTTTCCACGTGCACCACACGATCAAGAAGGGACTAGCCCTTCTTATTGTCCACACGCCCTAAACAAGGGCTGTTGGTTGAGGAGAAGATAGGGAGATGAGTATAGGAGGTGGCAGCTAAAAGGGTCTAGCCTATGGTCCTTTAGTTCCCTCCTATTTATAGAGGCTCACTATCAACTTAACCATAATGGATCATACCCTATTGGGTACTGGATCTCCATCTAACTATCCAAGCCTCTTGGATTAGTGGATCTCTACCAAATAATCTCTCATTGGCTCTTATTGGATATTATCCACAAGATTCAATAATTCATAGGCTTATTGGATATCCAATAAGATAGGGGCTCTAGCGGATATCTCATATCTGAACCTCTACTCGTCGCAACACTTACTATATGTGTATGACCCTCTGAGCCCAATGTTAAATTGGTCGTGAGTCATACATGTCAAAACTCCTTCTAACTCAGTAAATTATTATCTCAACAATAATTTACTCGACTCATCAACTATGGATGTACTAGGCCACTACATCGTAGTCCCAAGATGATACAAGGGAATCCAATCCATTGGACTTGTCTATCCTTAGTTACTATGTATCTATAGTTTCTCATCCATTTATATCCCAGAGAACGTATTTCGAGCATAATGTTATTAGGTCCATACGATTTCTACTCGAGCCTCGCTCTAATCATATTCTCCCAGAGAACACTTTCTCTCTCAATCCGAATGACCCCAGCCAATGATTTGTTTGAGCAAGAACATATAAGATATTTCTCTCATGACACCGAGAGCGGATGATCCTCTATCGATACTCAATTGCCATCGTAAGATTGATTGTTACTCCCGATAACCGGTTGTGCTAGATTTGAAACTTACAGACGTATAAGTTATAAATGTCTAAAGGGTATAATTTTCCATCATAGATGTTTAGCATGAGAAGTCTGAAGACCTACGAGATCGGTTATTTACTTTCTTACATGGGGATTCTAAGTATGAGTCCATTTAGTTGCTTTTCTTACTTTATTTCTTTGTGAATATTCTCCAATTGTTGATCTATCTTACTAAAGTGGTCTCATATCTCGATTAAGAGGTTGGCTGATTAAGTGATTGACTTATTCAGAAATTTTTATTCCGACGGAGGGATTAGGCTTTGGGCCAATGGCGGGGAATGTACCTCTAGTGGTACTTGGACATGAGCCAAGCAAGATTCGACTACCAGATTAGGAACAAGAATTGGTGGTGGATCAAGAGCTAGGATTGGCAAAGCGAATGTCAATGGGGCTTAATGGGCAAGTTGGGCAAGTTGAGGAAGGTAGAGAACAACGATTTGGACTATTTTGGTTAAAACTTATGTTTGTTTGATTAGGGTATGAAAGGTTTCCAAAGGAATAGCCATGATTGCGGGAGCTACGGGAAGCGATTGGGTAAAGGTTGGGTCTTAAAAAAGCTATCAAAATAGGTTGGGGTCCATCATGGGGAGAGGATTTGGACCAATCAACAATCTCAATTATCTCTGATTCGGGATCATTGAAATCAGGAGGTTCAACAAAGGAGCATTCAAGGCTACTAGACTTGGTTCGTTGAGGTTCGAGGGATTCGAATCCTTGAGATTTATTCAAGAAAGACCTGTGAGGTTTCCTTGAGATATAATGGTGAACCCTTCTTCTAACATCAATCTGTTAGAGTAGATTTTAGTTGTCTAAGCTAGAAACTAATCGAATCCAACCTAATTCTTCTCCAAGTAGTTTCAAGGTGGAACTCATCGAGTTGGATATATAAACCCAATCGGAGGCATTCCCAATAGAGATTCGTTCTATGTTTACATGATCATGGATGCACGAAGATCGTCCATACTTGTTTTATAATTAGTACTTATGGGATATGATTATATGAGGCTGAGATAGTAATGAAAGGCTACTTAAATGGCTCCCATGTGTCAGCTAGGTGGCTCAGCCACGTGGGAATGAGGTGTCAAATTAAGTATACAATGAAAGTGTTAGCATGTCACTTTTATCATAATAGTTTCTATCTTTAATTTTTTATATTTATTTATTTTTTTCTCATCATTGAGTGTATGTTGATATGTACAATTTATTACATATATATATAAATTATTTCTAATTTAAATAAATTTATTTTGTTAATAGATCAACTAAATAACTCTTGCATCAATCACATACATAGACACAAAGTTTTCCTCTCATGCCATCTTAATTTTAATTCTAATATTATTAACTATGAGACTTGTTATAATACATTCTTGACACATAAAAACATCATAATTTGACTAATGGTAAATATTTTCTAGTTGGTTGGCTGCTTTTTGGCATTATATTTTTAGCATAATTTGCAGATGTGGATATCGAAAGACTATATATATAGTTATTTTCCAAGGTGGTGTGCCTGCAGAATTATGTCCAGCAGAGTGAGAGTAGTCTGAGATATGGAGACCAGTTACAGAGAGAGAGAGTGACCGGAAACTTCCTCTCTCTGCCGCTGCCGCTGCTGCTGCTGCCTTAAGAAAGCCCAGCGTCTCTCTCTCTCTCTCTCTCTCTCTCCACATATCACTCGTCATCGGGCCCACCCAACGACTCACCTCCCACAACTGCTTTCTTTGTCCAACAGCAGACGCCACCTCCTCATTCTCCCTCTTCCTTCTCCACTCCTCCTCTCCTCAGCAGCAGCTCTTCTTGTTCACCGTATCTTCTTAGCTACTGCTGATATGATTTGCTTACTGAAGCTTTGCGATGCATGCACACTGTGGATCCGAAGAAATCTTCTTGTGGATTGTATGATAAATGAAGCAGCTCATAGTTGGCAATATATTTATTATCTTTGTGCTTGAATTCTCAGCACACAGTCTGGCATTGGACACGTTGAAGTAGTCTCCCACAAGACGAAAATTCCTCGCTCTTGCCGAGCAATAAAGCTTCCGCGTACAGAGCCCCCGCCAGGCGTCCCCCATTTGGAGCCACTCCTTCCCGCCCTCTGCTTTCTCTTTAAGTAGTCGCCATTGTTCCCTCCTGTCGTTCTGCCTTTTTGTGCCTTCCACCCGTCATAGAGAGGAATGGAGCAGCAGCAGCAGCGGAGGCAGCGGCAGCAGCAGAAGCAGCCGTCGCGAGTGCCATGCGCGAGGTGCGGTTCGGAGGACACCAAGTTCTGCTACTACAACAACTACAACACTTCCCAGCCGAGGCACTACTGCAGGACCTGCAAGCGCTACTGGACTCACGGCGGCACCCTCCGCAACGTCCCCGAAGGTGGCTGCTCCAAGAAGATCAAGAAGAAACCGTCGCTGCCATCGTCTTCAGCCTCGTCCAAGAAGCTTCCTCAAGCACAAGCGCCGGTTATCCCCCAGATGCAGGACACTGCGGCTGGTGCGCTCGGCCACCCGACCCGAGCTCCCATGCCGACTCCATTCTTCCATGCCGGAGGACGCGGAGCAGCCGGGTGGGAAGATCATATACTAGATGAGTCCGGTCTTCCTGTCTTCAACCCCGTACCGCCGCCGCCGCCGGGATTCAATCGCCTGCAATCGCTGGATGGAATCAGCTTGCAGCAGATGGCGCAGCGGCGGCGGTTGAACCTGCCGCTGCACCAAAACTTGACGATGTTCCAACAAGAGCATCAAATGAATCCTCCCATGTTCACCCCCGCAGCTTCCTCCGTCGCTGCGACTGCGACATCCGAAGCCAGGAATCGGAACAACAGCATGTCTGCCGCCTTTCGTCCTCCTCCATCTTCGTCTTCCTCATTCATGTAAAACGAGTTCGCCTCGCTTCAAGAAATATTTGTTAGGTTGGTAAATATTTGAGGAGTCACTATGTAGAATATTAGGATTAGGATTAGAAATTCAAGTAAAACAACAAAAGTTCTTGTCAAATTAGGTTTTATCGCTATAAATACATCATGTATCCCAAGGGAGATGGTTGAGAGAGGCTCTTTCAGAGTCTACATGAGAGGACGTCCATTGGATTCAAGGTTTCTATGAGATATTTCTTATATTTATTTTTTTCATGCGATAAAATATTTAGTTTTTTCTATTATTGTTTGATTATTATTATTATTTATTTGTTTGTTTCGAAATCTTCTCTCTCCCAACAAAACATACGTATGAAGCTTTCTCCACGAGAGATGATGACATGCATGCTTCTTCTTCAGCCATCGATATCTCTCTTTGTGGTGTGGTGTGTTTCATGGTTTTGATGTGCACAGAAGCCGCGTTGTGTTTCATGGTTTTGGTGCGTGGAGAAGCCGCGTTTGCATGAGGATTGCAAACGTGAAAAGAAAGGATACAGTGTGACGTGGAAACCAAGGAAGAGATAATTCCATTAAGAAGAAGAAGAAGAAGAAGAAGAAGAAGAAGAAGAAGAAGAAGAGGATACACTGCATGGCAAATTGACTTCTTTCTTGTCTGTTTAGTGATACCACTTAGTGGGTTAGGTGTAAGGATGAGTGAGTATGATGTATACGTATGGTATGTAATTAAAGACTAATTCAACATATATAATAGTTTCTTGTAGGAGAAGGTTGCATAAGAAATTATGTAGTGGTCAGATATGATGTGCGTGAAAAATCTTTGTCGGAAGATGTCATCATACTTTGATTATTTTAGGCGATTTGTTTCTTTGTGGACATTGTGCTTCCATCATAGGAGTTCTTCAAAATATTATTTTTATGTGCATACATTGTAGAAAAGTTATATTACAAATATATATATATATATATATATATATATATATATATATATATATGATGTCATTATAACTTACAATTTGATATAAAACTTTCCACTTTGTTACATAAAAAATTTGATTAGACAAGCAAAATTTTGCATACAAAAGTATGAAAAGTAGGTTATTGCAATTTACCCCTCCCAAGTGTTGAAATTAGTTGGATGGGTATGTGTTGGGAAAATGAGAGCAATATTGGAGAGGGATTTCAAACAAGATAATGGCATGGAAGAAGCTATGAAATTAATGGACATGAGAAGCAAGAATAAAATGTGTTGTATTTAATTCAATCCTACATAAGCTTAATCTTGAATTAATGTCTGATCATAGCTTAGTTGCAAGATCAAATTGCAGTTCTAAGTAAGGCTTTAACGGTGTGTGAGATTTTGAGATATATGCAATATATTTCATCATTTTGATGAATAAATTCGGATTACTGGTAACTCTATTGGAGGATCATTAGTGAAGGCTTCATGAAGAGTTATATCTCAATCCAAAACCATACGTAAATTTTCTAGTATCGATTAATCCCTTCTTCTTTTTTTTCTTGATTTCGGATTGGGTTTACTAAACCCAAGAACAAGCATGATGGTCATCAGAGATTACATTAGCTCTAATGAAAAGGTTAAGAAAATATGGATCAAAAAAGTGTAATCTTCCACAAAATTAGACAATGTTTTTTGCAATATGACAACAAAAATGATTAAAATGGTTTGAATTGAATCTTATCAGTCCATGCCAAGTGCTAAAAGCATTGAAGAATGATGAGTTCTAACAACTGGTAGAGTAGGAAATATTATGAATAGTCTTACTTGGCCTGTGGCAAGTACTATCTTATAATGCAAAGCATGACCAACTTTTGCAGCAAGCTTGTGGTCTTCAATCATATCACATGCATGTAGGTCAGTTCATGCACTGTGTGCAATCCACTGATGGCAGATGGTACTAAAGCTCCAACTGAGGAGATGAGAAAATAATAATTGAATGTGTGAACAAAGAAGAAAAGAGACAGTGGATGGTAAATTCAAGGAAGAGGTAGCAGAAAGAGATTAAACAAGTCATAAGCTTTCATTAAAAATGTGTGAAAACAAAACTTTCACTTCTTAACTCTTTCGATCAGCAGCACAATTGTCAAAGTTATCAGCAAACAGTATCAACTCATGCAGTATCTCCTCCCAAGTATTGCTAATAAACAGTGCTCATCAGCATATCATGTGCCAAAAGTTCAATTTTTGCAGCAAGGAAAAGGATGAAATGAGACATTCTAATAATTCTTTTCTTTGCCAAACCATTCGATAGTGTTTAATCTATGGTTTGATTTCTTTCTTCTAGATGCTTAAAAAGCAGGAGTTTTTGAAGGATTGGGTTACTATTTATATGATGATTTAGTCTACCACTGTTTGGTTCATCAACCAATAATATCAAGTGGTGAAGGAATTGATGGAAAGATCTGCAACATTGGAGTGGACTGACACATCAGAACCAGGAATTGTTTGAAACTCCAAATCTAACCATTGAATTTTTCTTAATCTAAATAAAGTAAGAAAGAAAGAAAAAGAACTTTCCCTTGTCACTGGTAATGTTAATATGATAGGTTTAGAAGATGGCAGATGGAATGGACTGCTTATAAATGCTGCACAAAGACATTTGGTCATTCCCTCACTGCTTCTGGAGAATCTAACTTAGCTTCTTTTTGGATGTCTCCTTGACTTCTCTGGAGAATTATATTCCATAAACCCTTGAAATTTTTCCATGTCAAATTGTAGAAAGCCTGATCACTTAACAATCATTCATATATATGATTCTGTAGCAATTCTAGAATTGGCTCTCACTGATCTACCTACCAGAATAATAGAAAGAACTGGATTCCAGGAATTTTGTGGGTTCTAATATGCTCATGAAAAGGAAGAAACATGTGAATTCCTTGGATGACAGCAATTCCAATCCTCAGTTATCATGTCAAAATGAGATATAGGAATCTAAACTGAAATAACTCCAATAAATCTGACAAAATATTTGATAAGTCCAGAATGAAAAGAATCATTTCTTGGAATGTGAAGATAGAGAACATGTTTTAGCTTAATATAAAATAGAAAAGCATTGATATCAATCAAATTATTTGGTTCCCAACTGAAATAGCTTACAGATGAATGTTAAAGGCCACTTTCATTTATTTGGCTTGAGAGCATATTAAATGTCCTCTTATAATGTTAAACTTGTATGGACATCTAAATGTTGTTACTCATGGTTAAGGCATTATAATTCTTGATTTTGGAAGTATATATTATCAATCATTGTCCTATTTCAGACAAACCAGAGCTGTACATAACTGACTCAATATCTTTAATTACAACAAATATGTGATATCTCAACTTAAGCTTGATTTCTGTACATGAGTCAAGTTAAATGTGCTCCCAGATATATATATATATATATATATATATATTCATTGACTTAGGGACTTAGGACTATTTTGACCTGTTTTTGTAAGTTGGATTGTTATTAATTGAATGAGCAGAATATTAATATAATATGTCTTCTGGTTAAAACAAATCTAAGTTTTTTCTATGATTTATGGTAAAAATGCAATTTTTTCTTCTCCCATTCTGTGCATTTTTCTTTTTCTTTTTCTCTTCTCATACGTTAAAGAACTATCCATAGAAGTCCTTAAAAACCTATATTTCAACAACATTAGGACTTAAGACTCTCTTCATCGCCTCTTTTGATTTTCCTTTTTCTTTCTGCAAAATAATTTGAATCATAACAAGGAGAATAACATATTTAAACAATTTGATTAAATTGACATTTTTTGACAGAATAATTTGAGCTCAACTTCTTCGCATGAACCTAATTTTGTTATATCTGCTCACAATATCTGAGACAGATTCCCGGACCATGCTGATAGCTGCAATATGATCTTCCAATGATAAGAGACTCTAATGCATCAAAAAGAATGTTCGAGGAGTGGAGCATTGCACTGCTATGTTACATGGGGAAAGTGGTTCCTGTTTCTGTTGCCATGAGTAGTGGACCTTCTTCTTCTTCTTCTTCTTTGCCACAAGATAAAGAGTTGTCCATGAAACAAATAGACAAGCAAACCAGAACAAAAGTTGATACAAATGACTGCCAAATCTTTGAGACTTTACATGTAATAAGCATAAGCCATCCATTTGCCTTGTAAAGATTCTACTGACATTATCAATGAAGGTAAGGAAAGCTGCTGTAAAGAAAAGCACAAACTCTTGCTAGAATACTGCACACAGACAGTCATTGCACTTCTGAACATAATCATCAGAGCAAACATGCCCATTCAGTCCACTATCAATATGAGCAGAGTTAATACTTGTTACAGTGAAAGAAAGGCCAAAAAGCAGGCAATAGATCACTCATAAAAGTGAAATGAAATCCCACTACAGAAAACTATATGTACCAAGTTCTTTCTGCCAACACACCAAAAAAACACACAAAAGGGAAAAAGATAAATATCTCAATTGTTAATTGGCTTCTTCAACAGCATAAATCACCTCAACTGACGAAGAAGAAGATGAAGACTTCTGACAATGCCCAAAAAACGCAAACCACTCAATAAGAAGATGGTATATGCCATGCCTGCTATGTACATACATGCAAGACCAGCTCACTCCTCCAGCTTCTTCTTCTTCCTAGTTCACTAAAAACTGATGACAATACACGTTATTGAGCTGAAAAGATCCGAGGGTCCTCTCCCAACAAACTGAGACGTTTGCAAACCGACAGGATCTCTCCGATCGGCACTGCTCTAGTAATCCGCCCCCGCCACCACATTACAGTGAGCATGTAATATAGATATAGCGCACTGACCTTACTACCATGTATAATTCGGAAACATCGTAATGAAAAAGAAGATGCAACAACCATGAATGAACAGGATTGAGAGACAATACTTATCGGCCGCACTTCACCCTTAGACTAGATCAGAGGAGTGACTGATGAACCATAGTTCATGCCGTCCGGCCAACCACCGGTGCCGCCGATGACTACATTCCAGTACGTGGCTGCAGCTGGACCAAAATTATCCAACGAGTTCACTGATGGAATCTGCCAATCTGTGCAGCTGTTCATCAAGTTATTGGTTTGCCCTTCCCACTTCACTTCCTTCGTCATGGCATTAAGACTCCCACCGATGCCAGAGGCTTGCAGTTCATCGAAGGGCAATATGGCCTGGTAGTCCGCCACTTGCTTGAGCTGCTTAATGCTCGACGCTAGCTGTGATGCAGATGGCAAAGATGACCCAAAAAGTGGATAGTCGTCCACCGGCGACAATGGCT